ATAATAGTACAGAAATAGTAATAATGGCAACTAATAATTCGTATATGACACTATGTTATTGCAAATATTGTTTTAAAATGGACCAAATTATTGAAAACGTTTCGGTAAACAATTATTTTGTTAACTCAGATGGTCAGAACGACGAATATTCGCGAGAAACTGAATGGGCGTCAAAGGTGTTTTCAACAGTACTTATGATAAATCAACGTTATTCTTCAGTTGAGGCATCTCACGCCTGCTATGACTATTTTTTTTAATTTTGACTAATTTTGTAGTCTGTACATATTATTCAAAGAAAGATTATTAGAAATTTCCCCTACCTGAACATCATCGGAAGTAAGCGATATGAAAACATCTCCAAACAGGTATGGAACTTCATCGGTGTCTTCACCTAAAATATAGGTTTTTAAATATTGAATTGCTGAAAAAGCATTTGACTAGCTAGAAAGCTTTAAAGTCGCATATCTCCTCTGTGTCGAGTCGGCGTTGGTATCATTCGAGAGCGAAGATTTAGCAGTAGGAGGTCTAAAAAAGGTTTGTGAATTTAAATAAACGCTTTTATTCAGACCTAGCATAAAGCATTTCAATAACCAGTGAAATTTCTAAAAGTCGGCATATTTTATAATACAAGTATATATTTTATATTTTATATTTAACTATGAATAGCAATTTTTTTACGATTACGATAGCATAATTCTTACGAGGGCCAGGCCGCTAAACAAACAAGCCAAAGATTATTCGGTTGCTTTTGTTCTGTAAGTTTCGATACTTACGTAAAGTATTTACGGAAGTTTGCCGTACTGGTTAGCTAATTACGGAAAACATGAAATTATTGTGAGAGTTAAGCAAGATCGACGCGTTAGTGGCTATAATATTGCCAAGGAACTAAACATCTGCTACGAAATATTTAAGAAAACTCGCTGTAAAAAAAAAATCCTAGTATTTGAATGTCACACGAATTGACGCGAACTAATCTATTCAATTGTATTTAACCTTACAGAAATTCAACAAAATCGAGCCATTTCTAAAGCGATTGACCACCATGATCAAAAGTAGATTACCAATACAAAAAAGACTGACTCACTATCTATGGCAAAAACCCAGTCAGACCTTAATGAAGGTTATGTTATATGTTTCGTGGGCTTGGAAAAAATCGTTACTATTAAGTAAGAGTTCTTGCTTTTTGGCAAAAATGATTGACTCAATCTATCAATATCTACACTGTATATATCGTCTGTTTCAGTCCTAACAGTGTCAATTTACTTTTAACAGAAGTATGCAAAAATCACTTGTTACAATTTTTCGTTTGGCAACCGAAGAAATTCTTCAATACTGGGGTTACGATATTAGTAGGAAAATAGCAGGAGGTTATCGACAAAAATGCCGCATATTTAGCTTAGTAATATCATTAAAAAAAAAATAAAAAATAAAAAACAATTGCATCCCTATTGGCATAAAAAAAACTCAATACTTTTTCGACAAGCCAGTGTCTTTAGCTATTTTTTTTTTGTTGCTTCCAAAAGTAGTACATGCAAAAGTCGACAATTTTGTTGCACGTTGAGAGCAAACGAACACAGGCTGAATATGGTGCTCCAAACAAAGCGATTCTGATAATGGCTTATGCATTGGGGCGAACATCTAAAAAAGACGTGACAGATATTAACAATTAAAGATGTCTCCAAAAACACTGCTATGATATGACTACGGTGAACTATTATTATTTTTGGACTAAGTAAGGCAGTATTATTTAAACTTTCATAAGGCTCATGATAAAAGAAATCCCCTAATGTATTATGAAACGACACTTTTTTACATGCAAATATCATTTGAACGTGAATCGATCGCTTTGAATGAGACAACGTACTTATTTAGCAAAAACTATCAGCTAGTTTGCAATCAACGTACCAAGCATGAGCTCCTCCTCGGCGTCTTGCAGCTTTTGTATCTGATCCGTTTTGGTCGCCACAATATTTTCAAGCTCCTGTAGGCGTTGATTAAATCTAGCGAACTGATTAATCTGCGCCTGGTCTTCTTTGTTGATATTTACCTGAGTATATTCAGTTATGCGAAATATTGTGACAGAAGCTCGTGTTTGGCAAAAAAAAACATGGACGGCCACATTTCTGATTGTAAAGAACAAAAAAAATAAATGTAAAATAACACGATGACAGCTTTGCAGAACAGACAATAATTAGCTAAAATTATTTGAAGTTCAGGATGGGATTATCCACGTCGCGCTAACGGACAATAATTATAATATTTAGTTATATTTATTTGGACTATCTAGTTTAGATATTTTTAAACGCTTAGCTATGTCTTTTCCTGTGAAACGATTTACTTTTTTTTCTAGCCATATTACAGAAAAATATAGCAATCGGCAGAGCAGTCGGTTCTTGTCTGGGCAAAGTATCTATATGGCACCTAGTCTATATCACATATTGTTTCTTCAATTACAATAAGTTTTTTCACAAATGTTTGCATGCGGATTTAGCTTACTGAATTGCGCCTTTCGTTGTCTATACACGTATATGAAAACTTATATGCAATATTTACAAGCCTTAAGATGGAACTCGCAAGATTGAGTGTCTAACGGAAGAAAGAAATTATAATAGGTACTTAATGATAAACGATTAATGTCTACATGTAGGATTTTACTCAAGACCTAATTCGTTTCTGCTTTCCAAACTTTTCTTTTATAGAGAGATGGCTAAACGGAGGAACTTGTAAATATAGAATTGCCTACCTCGTTCGATTCCGTCGCAGACATTTCGCTACTGTGGCGTTTTTATCACTTCTTCACACCAGCGTTCAGATCGAACCTGACCAGGTTCGTCTTCTTCAGCCACGCTAGATGTTAATTAATCGACAGTTCTGGGGATCGAACGTTTCATTACCTGAAACCGACAGCAGTGCGATTATCAATTCAGACTCTCAGGTACATTCCAACGTTACTGACTTAATATGGCTATAATAGTAGCGTTCTCAGGATGCTTTCAGAAGCATATAATAATCAAACTTTTTTTTTTCGGTTTGGGTGTCTTATATTTATCTAATCATTCATTGCAGCGGGCACGGAGCGACACGAAAATAAAGGCTTCTATGGTTTATGGGACACGGAAACAAAGTAGAGCCACACTTGTATGCTAGTGGTAGCGCGCAGATGGAGATTTCCAGTAACAGACAGGAAAACGCGCCTATATCTACGTTTTTTATCTTTGTTGCAGTGTATTCAAAGTCCTCCCGTCAAACTTCAGCTTTTGTTTGAAAATCTATTTGTTTTTACGAGATTAGTGTATTGCTCGAATTCATCCATCAGACAATAACAAAAACATAGCAGCTCATCTGAGCACGAGATTCACGACTGAGTTGAGTTTCGAAGATGCATTGAAAAAAGGTGCCTAGTAAATAATGAAGACTGAAAGTATGTAACTCATAACGATAACATCCTTTTCACTTTCATCAGTAACATTCTCTTGTGCCTATCTATACGAATACAGCTCGGATTGTTGTTAGCAAAAATGGCTAATCAAGAAGTGCAGGTGGCTGAGTTTCTTTTGAACGATTTCTACGGGCCAATAGTGAGTGCCGTTGGCCATCAGCTGCTTCGACACTTCAGTTTGACCCTCCCACAGCTTCGACAAAAGCTTCCCACTGAATATCCAATGGCAAAAATTAAGGAGAGTTTAATGTGTCTCTTGCAAAACGGATTAGCATCGTCCATCGTGGACCGGGATAACGAGCTCAAAACCCAGTTTCGACTACCTATCGATAATGCAGTTAGCCTGATGCATTGTGCCGGCTTCATCTATCGAGCCAACCTACTGTTCGGTGAAGTGGGCCGTGAGATAGCGCATGAGTTTACATTGCATGGACAACTTACCTGTGAAGAAGTTGTTAACATTGTAGCCGAGCGCCTCGAAAGGAGTGAAGAAGACGTGCGCAAATCGTTGATAGAAATGTTTCAGACGCAGTTTGTCAGGACGTCATCTATGTTCGAAGAGTACCTGTTAGCTAAAGAAGAGACAGGCGACTCAAAGAAGGTTGAGCCGTTAATTCAAGAATATAATACGAACCTCACTCCAGGCATTATGTACGCGTTAAACCGCCAGCGGTTCTACAGACAGGAACGGAACGAGCTGGTGATTGAACTCGTTGGCGCTTTGCACAGTCACCACTATGCGAAGAATATCGTTCGCTGTATGATCCGTCTACATGAGACAAAGGCTCGCACCGATCTCATGGGTATATCCATGCCGATGCGCCAGGACGAAATTGTCAACATGGTCGAGAAAGAATTTAAAATTCCCCGCAATGAAACAATTGCTTGCCTTCGCACACTTGTGTTCGTCGCTCGAAACACGCAGTATCGTCCTGAAGACGATATTCTCGTAATCAAGCGAGACGACTTTCATACGGACTCGTATGTGATTAATTGGCTCCTAGCGACAAGACTTTGGCTTCGACAGACTGCACTACGGTACGCCACTGAGCGGCACGGTGGGTACGCTTCCTGTATCTTGGGTATGTTATTGTCCCATGGAGCAAGTGAGATCGATGCGGTGCAGCGGGCGACACTTATCTGTCCGAAGGAGGCAAAGAGCGTCATGTATACCCTGGAAACTGATGGATTTGTCGAACGACTCGAAAACATTGTCGCCGGCGATGGCTTCTATCGTCAGGATCCTCGGTACCGCTCCAGCTACCTGCATCTGGCGCGACTTCTTGAACAGCGCTGGCAGCAGGCAATATCCAATTTACTCGTACAACGAAAGAAAACAGCTGACCAGCATCGTGTACTTCTTAACAAATACAAGACGCTCGACAAGTTCGCACGAACTCTTGAGGAGCCGCAGGATATCTGTGATCTCTGGGCGAGCCTCACGCGGCCCGAGCGTCATACTCTGAGCGTACTGCGTCAGCAAATGTTGCAGACAGGCGTACAACAGCAAACTCTCTGTCGTGAACTAATTATGATAAAGTATGCTACGAAAATGTTCCTTAACGAGTAATAACCAAAGGAGTTAACTGTGTGTGTAGATCTTACGAAAGATAAAATGTTATTGGCCAAGAAAAACCACAACTGTACAGCTGTAATTTATTTTTTGTATAAGTAGTGATCATATTTTTATAATGAAAGAAAGTAGTTTTTAAGTGTTGTATTTTAATTTAGAACCTGATGGGTGCCAAATATAAGCCCTTTTTGAATCTATTTACTTAAAAAATATATGCAGTAATCCTGCTATTTTCGTAGGTATTTAATAACTTTTATTAGGTTGGTTTAAACGAACGATTTGACCAATGCGTGCTAAGCTATCAAATCCGTTAGAATTTATTCGTAGATCATGTGTGCCTGTGTTGTTGAGAATCCGCTTCACTTTGAAGATCAGCATATGTAAATGATTGTCCTTTTAAACACAAACATTGTTGGAACATTCATTGGCTGCTCGTGATGCTCGACTAACCAGCAGCAAACCTATTTAGGTTATATTGTGCGACGAGGTATTTTATAGGCTACGAAGAATGAGACCAGGTTTTCTGAATGATCGGGACATGGCAACTTGAACGATTGTAAACGATAATAATAAATCATCATTGTTAATAATAAAAACACACGACGTATGGCAGAAGAATTTATTTTCTTAATAATTAATAATAATTATTATCAATACATTTCTGCTTCTCATTTCATGATCATTGTGGTGGTTCGATTCGTAGCTTCGTCTCGTGCGATTTCCTGTCCGATTCAGGCGTCACAGTTGCCCGCTATTATTCTCAGCGTATCTGTCCAAGCTTGCGGGTCCACTATCTGTGTCTTGACATACACGTCCTATTGAAATAATCCTTGTTACACCATCACGTACTCAATATACTATGTATAATAATAATAATATTATTGTGAAATTGATGCTCACATTAGGTTATACAACTTTTTCACACGTTTGCCTTCGTCGTTTTCGGCCCCTTTTCAGGCCATATTTTTTCGTACAGTTCCTCAACCTTCACAGGTAGGATTTCCGCTTTTTGCTTTTTCTCTCTCTCTCTCTCTCTCTCTCTCTCTCTCTGCCTATTATGTACGAATCGCGGCTAAAAATCCCACTTTTGTTCGCTTAGCGTGAGGTTAAGCGTTAAGCCGCAAATAGACGAAGAGTAACATTTCCCTGTTCGTGATGGCTGTGAGTAGTAATGAACACCAGTAACGATTTCAAGCCGGAGCTGCCACTACAGAGTGTCAATGCGCCGAAAAAAATCGCTTCATAGCCTATCACTGTTATCCCGTTTTGGTTCGTTCAAGAAATCTTTTAATTCACACGTTTCGCTATTACTTGGTTTTCGGCCTTCTCGTCGTTGAAATTTTCGTTCGTTGAAACGTTTCGGACGCCTGTTTGCCTGTGTGTCACCTTGCGTGTGTGGGAAAATGGCACAGGGCCTCGTTGGTTTTTTGCCTGATCGCTGTGTCAGATGCCTCAATAACAACAGTACCCGCTTTCATTATCGCTTTAAATTTTTCTCACAGAATCACCGTTACTATCAACACCAGCATTGTCGTCATCAGAAGCAGCCGTTCAGTCAGTCAGTCAGTCAATCAATCAGTCAATTACTCACCTCCCATCCGCAGTCTTACCAGTTCTATTCATTCTTTACGCGTCCACACTTAATGTCGCTCGTTTTTTCCTGTGACCAAGTGAAGAAACGTCACAGCCAGCCGAAATCACTTTTTTTTCGGTCGGAAATCATGAAGGAAATTATTTGCTAGTCTATTATCCTTATTAGTAGTATCATCAGTATTATTTTATCATTTATAATCATATGATTATATATCGTCATTATTTTACACATCGATCATGTTATTACTGACATTCGTATCTGACACAGTGAAGCCCGCTGGCTTCACAATCTTCTGCTTCTGTTAGTTGTTGTTTTCATCATTGCGGCGTTTATCATAGACCATTATGATGATTATTACTATAATGATAGATAATTAGGCCATGGCCACGTGTCTGGGTGCAGCACACGTAGATTTTACGGCCACATTAAGATCGCCACATTCTGCCATCCCACACGACGCGATGCGCTTTCACAAGCTGCACAAAAGACAGACTTTCAGATGATGTAGATGAGATTTTTTTCCGTAATTGAACTAGAAAATGCTTGAGCTTTGAATAGTCGCAGCTGTCTCAGCAGCGAGTCGACCGGACCCACGACGTGTTCGATCGGCATTTTATTTATACCGGGGCAATCCTCGATTCAAAATTCTCAAATTCAAAGAAAATATATCTCTAGAGGATATTAAAGGGCCTACGACTGTTTGTGAAAACCATCTGATTAACAAGAACATCATCACCATCATCATCGGCTTTGTCTTTCGCGATTGGTTCGTGTCTTGTTCACCGTGAGTTTCTGGAATTGTATTGTTCGGTTTCCTCGTTACTTTACTTTATTCTAGATAATAACCCTCTTACATTCACCATTCGACGGTTACCGTTGCAGCTGGCTACAAGATCTATATATATATATATATATATATATATATATATTCGTTTGCTTCTTATGTACAAAACAGATCGGAATACTCTCAAGGTAGACGGGCTACGAACGTCGCTTACGTCTGCGAACCAAGATCGACCTTCAAGCCATTATTACTATCGGCGAAAAAAGAAGGCCCCGCTACCCCGCGATCTGGTTTTTTCCCTCTAATGGTAATAACATTTTACCACGTGTATCTTAATAATAATAGTAATAGGATAATCTGTATTCATGAAAATCTGGGTGAAACGTGAGAGCAAGCTTCCCCATGCATTCATAAATTGCTCCCATCCTTCAGTCAGTTAGTGGGTATCCAAGGCAATGTTGAAGTTCAGCCATCGTCTCGATTCAACATTGATGAAACATCCAGAATATAAGATCATTGTTAGCCTTACCCTGTCTAGCTTTCCATATGGGCGCGCAAATATTTACATCGAGACTTTGCCCTCTGCACTGAAGTGCTACCTATCGTACACAACAGCCTCATTCTTGTCCGCTCATTACCAAGATTATTTTCATTACAATTGCTATTACTGAAGGAGGAGCACTAAACAATTGATAAAAGTCAAGTGTGTCTGTGTGTGTATCGGTAATGAGACTCATGTGTCGGAGGTACACTGTACTCTTTCGAGAATGAATGGTTGTCGTTAGGAGTAGACTGCAGATTACTGCAAAGAGGACAACCCTGTTGCGTCACTAAATAAATGACCTTAAAGAAATCACTAGACAAACCGAAGCATAATAAAACCTTGAATAACATAATAAATCAAACATTATTTAGGGAGCAATATCGAAATTCGGGGGCAACACAATAAAAATAGGGATTTCAGAAGGTCTACTTATTAGTAACAAAAAGAGAATAGTATAAACATCGAAGTCAGAACATGGTTTTGCGTTAAATCGAGAAACATGTCGAACGGTCGAATCATTTGAGTACGCCAGATGTTGGTTTTTCTGGTAGTTTTGATCCATACGCTACGTGCTCTATCCGCCTAAGGATAGCATTGCTTGTTGCCAATAACTCAGTTCTGAGAGAAAGCTTCACTAACGGTGCAATATATATATATATACTAAGGAATTGGATTAATGGCCAACAAATATATGAGAAATTTAACTCATTTGGCAGATACTAATATCAGATGATCGATATCACCAGGCGAGCTCACATTTATAATAATTAATAAATTTATTATTTGAATATGACAGTATATACGGGTGATGAAGAGTACGTGTGCATTTTTACAAATGATTACGTACATGAATATTACTATAATTATAATTATTTTCATTATAATTATCATTATTACCATAACTAGTTCACTGAGGCCAACAATGCGATGATGATTTACTCAGTTGTTGTTGTCGATGTTGATGGTGGCGTAAAATTGACAATGGAAAAGAAAAAACTACGCAGAGACCAACGGAACAGAACTAGAATCCGAAGTCTGGATACGGCTCTAGTCGAAATCCGATGGGCTGTCTGATCTAAACAAAATAGCAGCGAGAAATAACTCAGAGCAAAGAGCCTGACAATTGAACAAATAAACGCAAAACCATTGTCACACTTGTCCTATTTTCTTTTTCTGTGTCTCTTTTCTGTTTGTTACTGGAAAAACGACTCATTACTTTCACTTATTCTATCTAACTAGCTCTCCCTCATTCCATCACCGTTCGATGTTTGTTTTTTGTTCCTAAAACGTGCAACTCTGCATCATGCAGCCGCCGGTTCATAGGCGTACGGCAGCGAAACGACATTGACGGTGCGGCATCACGAGCTCAACGCATCGCATCGTAAAACAATCACCTGAACCCTGATGCATTGAGATGCATGACAATACAACACTGTTTACTGTTTCTTCACGTATTCTTTGCTACTTTTCCCGTTATTTCTCGGCAATAATTGCCCCAATCAACTTTCCACTTTATCAAATCCGACTACAGTGTACATGGAAATACGGGAACACGCCATTATGTCGGCGGGGTGTAGGGACATTTTCTGGTTTGATGGTGACCAAATGTCAGGGGACTTGCGGCAGACCTGCGGCAAACATTTCGCGCATTTTTCGTCTGACTCCCTGAGGGCTCGAGTTCCCCTTATCATAATGCAACTAATACATTGTTGTATTGTAAGTCCATCATATAATAGTATTATTATTATCATCATCATTATCATTATGTCATCATCCAGCACGTGCGATCGCGACCCCATACTTCTCTTTTCGAATCGGCGACAACGGTCGATCACCGCTAACCTAGGCCACTTCGTCGCTCATTATATTGTCAGCTTAGTTCTATTCAAGCGTTCTATTGTCTCCAACATTCCTCCTTTGATGTGTTTTCGACATCATCGTCAGCATCGTTATCCAGTGTAATTCCCTCAATCTCCTCAAGTATATATATATACTTAATTATACTCA